CCCCCCCCATCCAGATGCTGTCAATGTCCTGTTACAGGAACAACACATTTCTTGTCTATAGAAAAACAGAAAGGTTTTGTATTTCTTGTTCTTTTAACTGAAGGCTCTTAAAGCATTGCTTATTGCTGGGAAATCACTTCCTCATCAGCAGAGTGATTTCTGAAGGTGTGTAAGCAGTGTAGTTGCTACAGGACTGATACCAGGTAGAAAAGTTGGGAGTAAAGACCTGGGTAAACCTAAATGAGGATGACTGCAGGTCTGAGAATGCTGAGGGTGCTTTAGGAAGAGGTCAGAGTGGTACCAGCTAAAGAAGAGTGGATTGGAAGGAGGCTCCACTACTACCACTTTTTCCAAAAGCATTTGACAAATAATTCCCTAAAGAATTTTCTTTGCTTTTGCCCAGTTTTCATTACTTCCTTCAAATACATACGTGTATTGTAATAGTTGCAAACCAGTTTATTATGTGGAGAAAATTGCATCTCTGCAGAAGGAAGATGGAAAGAACTGTATGGAATAAAGCAACTATGAACTTGCCTGCAATGTCCCAGGTTCAAACAAAGTACTGTGACTATACAAAAAAAAAAAAAACAACCTTCATACAGAGCATTTATGTTCTCTTAATGCCTAGCTATCTGTCTTATACAGGAAAATCGTGTGTAAAGTGATATATACTTGGGGCTTTGATTTACTTTCTGCAGGCATGTTTCTGCTTCGCAAAATAATGTATAATTTTAATGGCAGAATTGGAAGGAGAGGAAATACTCTGTGAAGTTGTGAATGCTGTTTTGCTCTTTCTGAAATCCTTTGTCTCTAAGAAAACATAGTTAACCATCTTTATTCAGCAGCCATTTTTAATGGGAGGCCCAGCCATTATAGACGTGACAGTGCTGAGTAACTTAGAACTAGGAACTTTTTTTTTTGTGGAATGCACCATACTCTTACATTTCAGAATAACTATTAAGTGCCCATATTTTATTTTTCTGTTTATTTGAATGTACTTGTGCTTTAGTTCTTTTAATATTTGTCTATTTCCAGTATTTTTTCAGTATCTCATCTTCATTTAGAAGCTCTAGGTTTTTCATTATGTTATTTGTAATTTACTGCATACTTCTATCAGATATTTACATTACAAGAGTGTCCTATTGTGTTGAATTTCAATTTATTTTTACTTCCTGCTTTGCAGCCTAATTTTAACAACTGCTCTTGAGCTTCTAGTAACCTGTTTTCAAACTAAACATGTTCTGATTCAAGTTAATGAGTTGCCTCTGATATTCTGCAGTGCCTTCTATATTCTATTATAAAACTGAGTTTATGGCCCTTTTGTATCAGGCATACAGGATTAGCTAAATTACTTCTTCTTGGCAAGATCATGTTTCCAATGAAGTGAGTGGCAAGAATCGGGTACCTGAGTCTTCTGTATGTCATATAATATAGCTGGGTGAAAAGCTAATCAATTAATTTCCCAGGCATCTCATCAGGGCATTAACTCCCTCCATTACAGCAACCGATGATGACGAGCAGTGTGGAGGTGGAACAGTGGCCGCAGGCACTTTGAGAATTCTGCTTGAATCCCATATGGGGTAGAAATATTGTCAGGAACATCAACAAAAACCTACGTGTTGGAAATAATAGTTTGGAAGAGCTGCAGCTTGTATACAGTGTGCTGTTTACAGAGTCTTTGGTGGAGAATGACGGTGTAACATAAGAACTGACTGCATATGTTATTATTCCAGGTCAGAGTCTGGAGAAGGCACTGAAGAAGATGCAGGCACACTGAGGACTGCAGAAAAATGAGCCATGCATTTTTCTGAAAGCTGAGAAGTAGCCCTCTGTTAGGGTCATGAACCTACGACAAGTCTTTGTGTCGCTACTGATGTTTGGAGTAGCTGGTCTACTCCTCTTCATGTATCTGCAGGCCTGGACTGAAGAACAGAATACAGGTACAGTAAGCTTCTGGGTTGTGGGTTTCTTGTGGTGTTTTTTTTTTGGTTTGTTTGTTTGATTGTTTTTGATAAAGTGATTGCATCCATGGCTTAAAAAAGTGTTTGGGAAGTCCGTTAAGTAAGTGTGGGCAACTCAAAGAAATCCCCCCTGTGTGGCAGTAGAATGACATTGACAGATTTGTTTTAATAACTGTATTTGATAGATACATGATAAGAGGCCCTAGGAACCTAATCGTATCTGCTTCATTTGCAAAAAATAAGTGTTATGAAAGCACATTGTGTGTATTTGAAGCCAAGCAAGTCCACTTCTGAAGTAGTTTTATTTAATGATTTTGTGGATGTGTGCTTTTTATACATTTATGTTGTGTGGAAAAGCACTACTCTAATGTGAACAAAAATGGTAACAACACTCATAAGGAATCATCCCATCCCAGCGTTGTTATTGCTAGAGATAGTTAGATCCTGGATTTGTGAGCTTTTGTCATATGTCACATCAGAGTCATGTTGCAACTTCAGCTAAATGTGTATTGGTACTGGATCTGCATTACGTTACTCTGTTGACTTTCTGTCAGCTTTCTCCTCAGCCTCCAGTACATGCTCAGTTAATCTAAAGTAAACACCCTTGAAGTGTATATAGGGTGGATATTTGTAAAATCCTCATCACCCACTGTTTTGCTTTGCCAGTACACCTCTGTTGTAGCACAATGTGATGTACTTGTTTTTCTTTCTTCTCCCTCCCTAAAAATATTGTCTGTTCCCAGCTAGTTAAGAAGTACTGCTTATTATGTCCTCTTGCTTCTATTGCTTAACTTCTATTTCCCCTGTAAAAAAATCTTTCTTTAAAATATACAGATAATATTGTGAAGAGAGATGTTCATAGAATCACATTAGTCTTTTGGTTTCATTGATCTGTTTTTTTTATCCAGCATGAGCTGGTAGGCTCTGGTAAGGTAATTCTGCTTTAGTTCAGGGAAGGATAGCAGGGGATTTCTAGTGCATTATTCCTGCAGTTACTTGATGTTGATCTTGAGCATTTCAACTCAGTGCAGTGGTCACAATTTTGTTCGCTTCTTAATGTTTCTGGGCTGATCATAAAACCATTAAATATCCTGAGTTGGAGGGAATTCTCATAGATCAGTGAGTCTGTGGAGGACCACCCAAAATTCAAACCCTATGTCTGAGAGCACTGTCCAAGCGCTTAAACTCTGGCAGCTTGGTGCTGTGACTACTGCCTTCAGGAGCCTGTTCCATGCTCACCACCCTGTTGGTGAAGAACCTTTTTCTAACCCCCATCCTAAACCTCCTCTGACACAGCTTCATGCCATTCCCTTGGGTCCAATTGCTGTCACCAGAGAGCAGAGCTGCCCCTCCATTCCGTTCATGAGGAGCAGCAGGTTTCGAAGAGGCTTCTCCTCAGCCTCCTCTTTCTAGACTGAACAAATCAGCCTCCACTGATCTTGCCCTCCAGACCCTTCAGCATCTTTGTGCCTTCCTTCAGATGTTCTGTAATAGTTTTATGTCCTTATACTGTGACATGCTGACCTGTACCCAGTGCTTGAAGTGAGGCCACGCAACACAGAGCTGAACAATGCTTTCCCTCACCCACTTGCGGTGCTGAGCCTAATGCACCCCAAGATGTGGTTGGCACTTTAGGCTGCTAGAGCACACTGCTGACTTGGGCTCAGCTTGCTGTCAGCCAGAACTCCTAGATCCCGTTCCATGCGGATGATCACCAACCTCTCATCCCCCAATCTGTATGTAAATCCAGGATTGCTATGTCCCAGATGTAGAATCCAGCACTTGCTCTTACTGAACTTCATGCAGTTGGTGATTGCCCAACCCCCAAATCTGTCAAGTGCAGGGCCTCGCTACTCTGAGGAGAGTCTACATCTCCCAGTTCAGTATTGTCCACAAACTTACTTAGCATGCATGTTAGTCCTGCATCAAAATAATTGATGAAAAGTTAAAGAGATCTGGCCGCAGAAAAGAACCCTGTGAAACCCACTAGTGTATTTACAAGCTTATTTTAACAAGACTGTTAGAAGTAGTATGGGATCTCTTTGGAAACGCTCCCATGTAATCGAGTGTTGACAAGTGTTGACAGAAGCAGACCTTACGGAGCGAGTCTTCCTTGGAAAATCTGTGCTGTTCTTGAGAATGTTAATGGCAGACATCTTTGCTTTCAAGGTAGTTCAGGAATGTAGATGATGTCTGTAGATTATTGATTTATTTACTTGCTAACATTCTTTACATTCCTTCCATCTTTTGTCCTGTAGTTAACCTTTCTTTCTGTGGTGTGCTTGCTATTACTATTTCTGTTTTCCTCCCACACAAACTCACTTTCCTTTTCTCTGTACGTATGGACTGTTAAGAAGAAATAAAGGGGGAATTAGAAGATACTGTGTTCTTTGGAGCAAACAGATACTTTCTTTGAAAGTTTTCTCTTTGATTTGATTTTGAATTATTGCCATAATTTTCATAGAGAGACTTTTTCTTGTTTTCACATGGAAACTATGTATGTATATATTTCAATAATAAAATAGAAACTATCAGAAAAAAACAATCATTCATGAGCTTAAAATATGATTGCAGTTTTGTGCCTTTTTGTGTCAATGGACTGTTGTTTAGATTCTGACAAAGTGCTGTCAGAAGAAGGAATTTTGGCATTCTTTGCAGTGGATAGGTCAAGCACATCAGAAAGTACATGAAAAAAAAGTTGTTCTTTGGTGTCTGCTCTTGCTTGTTTCTCTTCCAATTTAGAATGTAAAGAGCTATTCTCATTTATTATTTCAAACACCTATACCTCTTCTTAGCATTCTACAACACAATTCTCTAATGATTTTCTCCTCTTCCTTTCCTTGGTGCTGCTTAAATTTGCTATGAAATGAAACGTATTTCTGTATTCACATTATGCCTTGGTTTATGGGCACTTTCCACTCTTTTCTGCTGTGTTTTTCATGCTGACATTTTTTGTGCACTGTGGCATTTTTGGGGATGAGCTGTCTGGAGAAGCACAGATTGACAAGTATCTGTATAAGGATTTTATATTGTCTTTTAACTGTATCACTAGTTGCACAGCTGTAAGATAGCTGGAGTTTTAATCTGCAAGTATTTGATTTGATATTCAACTGAGAAATGGAAAATGTTCCTTGTTTCTCAGTTGCTATGCCATGAGTCTGTGTTGTAGTTGGAACTGTTTTCCATTTGTGTGGTGCCCTGCTCACGACAGATAACAATCATGTTTGTGTTTGGTTGGTGAAGCAGAAAGTAGTTAAGGTTTGACTCAGCACAGGAATGCCATGTCTTCTGCTCCCTCCTGCGATGCTTGTGCTCCTCAGGTTAATTCTAATCATGGTTGTCATCTTTATCCCTTAAAAAAAAAAAAAATCATTCTGAAAAGCAGCTCCTAGCTTTATGATGGTCCTTTCTGGCTTTTTAGAGAGACATTAGCAAACTGTGATAAGACAAGTATCTTGGTTTGGCTTTGTGCATGGAGTGCGTAGAGACAGGATGATAAATCCATACTTGGATGTCAGATCCCATTCTGCTGGATGTCATCAGTTCACCTCCTTGCATGGTATGAAGCAGACATGTCAAGGGCGGCTGGGGATATGGATATCCACACCTGCATATTTTACCAGGCTAATGTCACTGACATCAACGTTGATGTGTAAAATGTACTCGTGTGTTCTGCCTACAACACAAATGCAAATATTCATTTATATATGTTCATAGTCAGAAATGAAATTGGTATGAAATCAACTAAGTGCTACTGCTTTACTGGACAGTTCTCCATACTGTCTTATGCTCTTCACTAGGAGAATTAAATACTGTGTCAACTGATTTAAAAAAAAAAAAAAAAGAGCTATTTATTACATGCTTAATAATTTCCAGCAGTGTAATCTCAAATAGGGGAAGCAAACTAATGGGTCTTCCAGAACTGATGCTGAGTTTTGTATTATGAATCTCTTTAATTAGGACATGTGAGTGTGCATAGGACTCTTATGTTTTAACCCGACTATGTTATAGATGTGAATTATACTTTTAAGATAGGGTTTCAGATATTGTACTTTAAAAGCTTGTTTTTGGAGGCTAGTATGATTTACTGTGATTGGCTAGTACTAAATTATCATTGAATATTTTTGTGAGTAGACTTGTATGATGAGTGCTTTTATTTCTTTTTTCAGTAAATGTATTGGAATTCATTGTTGTGGAGTGTGCTTATTAACTTCATGCTTATCTGGAATTATTTCAATGTTTCATGTGGTGCGGTATGACTGGTAACTCATATGGAGAAATGCTACACTGTCCTTATCTTCCCATAGGTATCCAGCTCCTGAGGGTAGGAAAGTTTGCCTCTTCTTTTTCTCAGCAGCTGTTTTGCCTTAGATATTGGTTTACTTGTACATGCTTTCTTCTTCCTTTGCAGGGCATAAGTATTGTTACTTTTCTTTTGAATTTGCCTACAATTTTTTTGCAGTACTATATGAGTGACTAGGCAGTTTTCAGCAGCCTGCTTGCTTTTCTGACACAGAAACATTTTGCCCTTTGAGCTGCTGAGTAGGCTCATCACTCTGACTGCATTCCCATTCCTTAGGCTGAGGCATTCATTTTTATGAAGAATCTGGAGAAGTTTTGCTCAAATCGTCATTAAAAAATCTCATTTTAAGAAAAAAAAAAATTAACATCCCATAAAACAGCATGAATTGTGTCAGTTCAGTCTGCTCTTGATAGCTATCCAGACCATATCTGCACTGCTCAGCATGAAAGTGGGCTTTTTTTTTCCTTGCTTTCCTTCCTAGCCTTGGTAGCTCAAGATCTCATTTGGTAACTTGGTGAGATACTTTGTGTCTATGAAACTTCTTCCTTGTCTTGACATACTA